ATAGAGTAATTTAGCATGTTTTCTATATATATATTGTATTTATTTTTGGTTGCATTTTATTTATGTGTCATCTTTGTCTGTAAACACAATGACACAAGGTATGTGTTTTGGTGTTGCACAGAGCTCTGTGTTTGGTACTTTTTTTAATTGTCATATATTTACACCTCCATCTCAGAAATAAAAATGAAATGGCAGGGTGACCTATTATTTTTAAAATACATACACATACAAGTAACATTACTTCATCTGCTTGTTTTCTATCACTATAGCAAATAACTATTCCTTAAGCCCTGGAACATCATTCCACAAACAAATTGTGTTGATGGCTAATGATAAAGTCAATCAACCCATGCATTACAATCTTTCTGTCCAAAATCTGCGTAACAAAAATAACAAATTTAGTAGCTGAAAACTTACGTTCTTCTGTTCTTGTAGCCTCAGTTTCTGTTCCAGAGAGAAGTGCAAAAGTTTCCCCATGATCCTCTTCTCATTCACCTTCTCTCTCAGAGTAACATCTGTCACTGTTGGGAATTTTAGGCAGATGCTCATCAAAGTTTAAAGACTGCCTTAAGGTACTGAGTTACCTCTTCTGGATCTTCTTCATTGTTCACACCAATAAAAATGAGGCTCTGCTGTGCATCAATGCTACAGGTGGTCCAGAAACTCAGCCAGAAAATTCAACACAAGACTTGTTGAACTAAAAAGAGTAAAAAGCCTCACACATCTGAAAATAAACCTTCTTCTGAAATGATCACAGATGGAGTTTAATTACACCTAGGCAGTAGGTGATGGGGAGTGGTCCTTGGGTGGTGAGCTTTTCCTTCGCCTGGTTGAAAGAGTGAAAGTGAGGGGGTTGTATTTACTCGAATTATTCAGCACTTCATTGACAATAGGCAAGGAATCTGACCCGAGTGAAAGGCTCTGTCAGAGCTCGCATTTCAGACGTCAGTGTCAACACTTGCTCTTTAGGCTGCTTCTATACTGCCATCTCTAATGTTTGATCTTTAGCAATTTTACCCCTTCTTTAAATTAATCACTTTTCCACTAAAAGTGAATAATTTAAAAACAGTGATTCTTGGTGTGGTTTCAAAATGGGGCGATTGAGCCACGTTAGGATGCAAGCGAAATTAATAGAGAAACACCTGGTCGCTTAAAAATATTAAAGAAGTTGTTTTAAAAAAATTAAATTTATTAGACTTTTGATCTAAACACCAGGGGAGTAAATCAGTGTCTCCAAGATTTGCCTTCATACAGGAGCTCTGGTTTTACAGGACAGCTCTCTGTATGTATCTGGTTCACTGCTGCTGAAATATTTAAAGGATCTTGTACAGTAGCCAGCTACAGACAAAGGTAACTCTCATCAAAGAGAGTTCCTCCTCATCTCCACATTGTAGTTCCTGCCCTGTTTGTGTGCAATTACTGTATGTCAACTGCCTCATCGACATGAGCATCAATCAGACCTAAAATGTTGGATCCAGACTGAAGTCAAATGATCTGGACGTCTGTTTGTTTCAGCTTGTAAACACACTCTGTTATTTTCACATGCATATTTTTATTCTTTCTTCAAATTCTATACTCTCCCATTCTATACATTCTATATACTATAAATCTACAATTGTCACTGGGTTACCCGCTGGTTGTCACAGATCTGACATCAAAAGTATATATTTCAGTGCCACATAATTGGAAGAGTTGGGGGGAAAAATCCTTTAGCCCTTTGAGTACTTAAAGTTTTTTTCCCTCTTTAGTTTTCTTGCACACTTGTAATTTCAGTAACAATGGATGTAGTGAAATCAACACTTTTATTAAATATAAGGCAGAACACAAACACAATTCTTATTATTTAACAATAAAGGTGTCACTTGTAGAGGAAGCATGTTTGAAAGCACAAAAAAATCTGAGGTTTTTATGGAAATGAAACAAAAAGAACCCATGGATCATAGTTAGTGAAAGTTATACTAATACCCATATTCATTGACTTAAGTACTGAGACAATGAGTACATGAAATAATTGTCAAGCTTAAACCGCTTTCATTTATCCCTGTACTTAAGTTCTCAATTAGGGAAAAAATATCACATTGAAATGCACACATTAACTTATACATAATTTAAAAGAAAAAGGAAAAGTCCAAAAAAAAAATTTTTCATAAAGCTTTCATACCATAATACCTGTGTTAAAATACAAGAGAATAATGTGTTCTTTGAGATGATCAATTGATTAATTTGAGGAGTCCTGAGGAGTTAGCTCCTCAGGACACATATGCAACAAACTCTAGAATAGAACTGCTAGAACACCTTTTTTCAGGACAGAAAAAAAAACCAGTAGCATCTCTGTTTCAGAACGTTTGGGTATTAATAACAAACAAAAAATCCATCCATCCATCCGCTTATCCGTTACCGGGTCGCGGGGACAGCAGTCGCCACCCAAATCACATTGCACCATACCAACCCCCCAAACCTTCCTGCAGGTGGTGAGTCCACTGGAAGGTATTAACCGCCCTAACCGGGATTCGAACTTGTCCAGGAGGTGAACCCTGGGGTTCCACACCAATGACAGAGACATTGCCTCTGGGCCAAAGCGCAACCAAACAAAAAATGATTTCTATATTTAAATTATAATTTTTAGCTGTTTTTCTACATAAATCTTTTTACATTTCTAATTGACCTTTTGCATTAATAAAGTAACAATAATTATGTCCTGTCGTCACCTCACACATACACAGTTGCAATGATTAGTGTTTCATTTAACGTTGGTATAGAGCTTTGTGAAAAGGAAAAGTTTGCAGACAAAATAACTTTATGCGAAAGGAAAAATAAGGTAGATATGGGTGTAAATATTAAGAGATTGTTGGTAAAAAGTCAAGTTTACTGGCATTTCACTTAGTGTTTTATTTACATCATCAGCGGTTTTTGTCTAAACAGAGAGACTGACAGACAGACAGATTCAGCCCAGGCTGTGACGTAGAGCAGGACAGACAGAGGAGACCCCTCCGTCTCAGCAGGCAAAGTGTGAAACAAATCTCTGTGTCATGAAAATAAATCAGAACCTTTTGTAATTTTTGTAAATCCAAAGTGAACTCCGACTAATAAACTGCAGTGGTTTGATGTTGACACTAGGTGGCGCTCCAATCAATGGTGAAGACTATACAATTAACCTGATCACATCAACACATTTGATCTCTTTGACTAAATCAAACGGACGACACCTACGAAAACAACATTAAACCAAAACCTATTTACTTAGTATTTTGTTTATCTATAAGAATAATTTATTTAGAGTATTTGCACATTTCAAATATAGACTTTTATATAAGGCCTCATCTTTATATTTTCCTTTAAATATTTTAATCTTTAGTGATTTTGATACAGAATATCTTTTTCTTTTTTTTAAAACTTACAATATAATCTGCCCTGTTCTCCTGCTCTCTAGATAAATACCATATGTGGTTGAACTCATCTTGTACGCACTCATGTTATTTTATTTTTATTACTAGTTTTCCTCTCAATATGATCATCACTTAAAATGTCCTCACAGATGAGTTTGAGGTCAAGACTTACAGTAGAGAAGAAAACCTCATTTTGCCATAGAACCTAATGATATTGTCACTAAGCCAACATTCTTTAGCTTGTCCTGTGGCTATGCTAATCATGACAAAAACCTGTTTTGTTTTGGGTTTTTTTGGAGCATTATCTGGTCTACTATTACTCTGTGGTGATGTAACCATATTTTTTGTCAGAGAAGCACGTCACCTGTTCTGAAAACAGTAAAAAGTCATGTTGGTATTGATGTTCATATGATGTTCATACTGGGCTAAAAAGAAATGTACTCCTGTCATCTGTCATCTAGCATGAAATGTGTTTGTAAGTTCATGCTAATTTAATAAGAAGAGCTTAACCCAAATCTCAAAACGTGAGTATTAAAAAAATAAATAAAAAATAAAAAATGATCTTGCCTGCTGCAGCTTGACATCTTTTCAGAAAATTTTCCAGATTTTTTTTTTTTACTTTTTAAGTTTAATGCTAAGGATAAAATATTTTGAATCTCTCTGATCCTGAACCTTGCATTAGTTATGAGCCTTTTTCAGATGACATGTGCAGACAGGTTGACTGGTGCTGGAGCTCCGCTGCTGTATCTCCTCCCTTTGCTTGGACTGCTCCTTGTGTCTGGGCTCCTCTCTCTGCTTTTCCACCTCCTCTTCCCTCCTCACCTTCCTTACCTCCTGCCGAGGGGACGACCTGACGTCCCTTCCTTTCTCTCCCACCAGAGCTTTGGATGGGGAGCGCAGGTGTTTTGGTGAGGGCATGCTCTGGATCTGGACATGGTCCACGGCGTAGGACCTCTCATGGAGATCACTGGCGTTCTTGAGTGCAGCATTCTTATCTGCCATGTACTTCCTGGGTGGATTAGCAGTGGGCTTGTAGGCCTCTAGCTTCCGTTTCTGACTCATAGCAGAAGCACAGCAGATGATGAAGACCATGACGATGAGAAGAGAGGTGACTACGATGATGATCAACATGTTCTCCTGCAGGAAGTCCACCACTCTGGTCAGGACAAAGTCCTTCAGGCGGATCATGGTGGTGGTGATGGTGTCCTTCAGGGTGGGGGTTACAGTAGATGTGGTGATGTGGACCGGTGCCCGTGTAGAGAAGGAGACTGGGAAAAGTAGCTCCAGTTCTTCATCACCACTGCTGTCCAGAGATGTGTTGTAGAACATCGGAGCGGAGCGACAGAGAGTGATGCACAGAGACAGCAGCGTCATACAAGTGACGTGGAAAACCAAGTGAGACTTCATCTTTACACCCAAGTGCTGTGAACACAACAGACAAGTGTTAGGGATTTAATAACAAATACTTACAAAATGCAATTAAAAAAAAACAACTATTTTATATTAGACAAGGAGAAAAGAATTACTGTGTGAATTGGTTTTGTTATCTTTTAAAAAAGCTATTCTAATAATAGATTATTTAGCAATTTAAATAAAAAATTGCAAATCTCCAGAAGAAAAGGATGAAAAGGATGCAGTTTCAAATTCTACCAGCCTGCTAGACGAGTAAAAACACAATTTTTCTGTTTTGGAAAAACTTATTTTCACTCAGAACTCCTAGCATTTGACAATGATGGCCCTTATTTTTAATTAGCCACTGTTTTCCCTTCTAATTTGTCCAATGACGTAAGAAATCCATATATTTTAATATTGGTTTGGTTATCTTGTTTTTGCAGTTTTGTTTTTAATTTGTTATTTATTGGTGGGTTGGTAGAGGTAATTTTGTTAATTTTAATGAATAAAAGAAGGGTATCATAAAAACAGGAAATAAATAACCTGGTTTAGTTCAAAGACCATCAACTACTATGAGAAAGAGGTGTTTACTTTAAATTCAGAGGAAGCAGATCAAGTTAAGTACAATAAACACAAATTACATCTTAGTAATTACTTTTAGTTTTTTTTTTTTTTGCATCTCTTTAATCTGCTGCAACACTGATTGTTCTTGTCCTCCTATTGTTGAGCTGTCTTTTGTGCAGCACATCTATTTCTGCACAGATCTAAACTGTGAATGTACCTCCAGTATAAATCTCCCTCAAGTTTCTCCAGGTTTTCTGACGCTGTCTGTCTTGGACCAGATCTATTTTAGCTGGCAGCAGAGTAGCCATTACTTATTTGGGGTGGAGACAGTGAATTTGGTGCAGAGGGCCTTATAATTTGTTAAGAGGAGGGATGCCACCCATCCACCACACCAAAGTCAGGAGGAAGTTCTGCAGCAGAGGGAGCAGAGAGGCGTGGGAGATCTGCAGCTGTGGCCTCTATATTTACATTTAGCAGCAGCAGCATCGTCTGCACACCACCACCCACAGCAGTGCAGAGCTAATGAAAATATTTCTGTCTGTACAGCCAACTAAATAAACTTACCCATCCTGAATTATTTATCCACCATGACTCTTTATAATTCTCCTCTGTCAAACTGTAAAGTCCAGTGCTAACACACAGCAAAAGGGAGCGAGTCTGTGACAGATTGAACCTGTTCATCTCCTAACAGTGTGTAATTACACTGTAGGAACGAGCTTCTAATCAGAGTCACACTAAAATGGAGCTGTTGCTGTTTTACACTGCAGCTCCGAGCCCCCTCCTCTCTCCCTGTGTGGCCAGACATGGACCACAGCTATAGAACAGCACTGCCCCATAATTACAGTCATCAGGTTTCCTATATTTTTCCATAGGGCAGAATTCTCCCTCAGCTAAAGGACATCTGGACATAGACATGTAAACGATACACTTCATGACATGCACAAAAAGAAAGGTGCAGGAAGAATATAAATATAAAATCAAATAAAACTAATATCTTTGAAAACTTTTACACTTTTCATGTTTACGTTACAGTAAACAGTATAGTTTTGTCATCCGTAGGGCAGCCTAGAGGATGTCAGCTGCCAATAAACAAAGAAAAAGAAACAGAAGAAGAAAAAGAAGAACTGGAAACAGAAGAAAACAGAATAAATAATTAATTAATTAAAAAAAGACAGAGACATTCCTAATATATATAATTTGAGAAAGTAATGTTTTATGCATCGTATTATTGTAATGTTTTGGGTTTTTTTTTTTGGATGCTAATTAGAGTCGTTTTCTAAATGTCGCAGCTACACAGCTCATTAGCCCTGTGTTAGCTCAGTGGTATCATCTCTGCCTGTTCCTAATCAGTCATTAAGACATGTCTCTCACAAGGTTCATTACTTGTCTCTTGTCTCCTAAAGCTAACATTTAACTTTTGACCAAATATTGAGTTAGCAGATTAGATTTTAGATTAAACAATATAGTTTTACCACTAACTAAGCACATTGACCAATGCATTCAAAGTGCTTTGATAGGTCGCCCTGCAGGTAGAAAGGGGTACTACATGATCTCAACTCCATTATCAACTTTGGTTTGAGAAGGTGTTCTACGTGTGGAATTGTATCATTAAACCAACTTTACAATATGGAAGCATTTCATGGCACGTTATTCTCTTTATCATCGTAGGTATTGTGTATCATGGAAATTCCTAGTCTCTATAAGTTAGGGAACTTTGGGCTGTTTGCCTGGACTTCTGCGGCAAAGGTAATACCAATCTATCTGGTCTGAGTATTTAAACTGTTCTACTGCACAAGACTCCTCACAAAAAAAAAAAAAAAAAAAAAACAGGCCAGAAAAAGCAGTGAGTGGCAGTTCACTGGTAATAACACCTTCTGCGTGCCAGAGCTCCGACCAGACCAAACTGGTGTAGACTGGAGCACAGAAAAAGTATCTCAAATAATCTAAACTAATTATAACCAAACTTGTGAAAGTATGTGAAAAAACATCACTGAATACACAAAGTGTCTAACCTGAAGCAGATGTTTATTTACAGCAGCAGACAACATCCATGAATAATTTGACCAACAAGTCAAATTGGCTAGTCAGAGTAAAGTAGCCACTCAAACATCAGATCTGTAAAGTGTAAAAGTCTTCAAGTGAAGAACAGCAGGTGAAAAGGTGGAAAGGAAAATTGAACTGTACATACAGGACTTTTTTGTATCGTTGATAACAGTGTTGTATTTTTGAAAACTTGTTTCATAAATTTAAAAATACTTAATGTGAATTTCCCTATGTGAAAATAAACTACTACTCTAGTGAGTGAACTAATAAAAAGTGTGCTGTAATTCAAATTTGTTGATGTAACTGATGTAATAGTTAACGCTCGAATATAAAACATGACTATAATTTTTTTAAAACTATACCTTTTAACCACCGGATGTTAGTAAAAGTAAATATAAACGGCTGTTCACTGCCTATCTTGAGACTGTTTTCAGTAAAGATAAACAGACAACAGGCCAGTAACTTATTTTTAATTTTCTGTTCATGAAGTAATAAATCTTCGTTTCAAATCATACTTACAGAAGAGTCTTTTTTCCCAGGTTTATCTTGTTGACGCCACAGCAGCACAGCAGAGGGCAGAGAAGTATGAAGAGCAGACAGATGGACTAGAGAAAAGTAAGTGTAAGGAGTTGCTGAGCATACGCCTTCCCTGCTACGTTAAACTGACTTTTTTATGCAGCTCTGAAAGTCTTGGTGCAAAGTGATGTTCTCGCTTCTATTTTCATCCTCTCCTCCCTGTTTTCTGCACCTCCCTTTCCCGCTTTCCATCCATTGGCACACAGGGAGCAGATGTTTGGCATAAGTCATTTAGCTTAACTTGTTAGTGTGTGTGCTTGTGTTCGTGTGTGTATTACAAATGTACAGCCACAGTTACATGCTGTGGTGTGCTGTGTATGGTGACACTTTGAAGTCCATTATTGTATGTGATTGAAGTGTGAATAAAGGACATAAGAATAAATACATTGTCAATTTAAACTCGATTTTTTTTTTTATATTGACATTTTTGGCTTTAAAACTATCTTCCATTTGTCCACAGTTGGTACTACAGTCCCATGTTTGGGCAGATGGGTATTTCTGTACCTTGCAGGGCGAGTCCCAGGACTTCTCTGCCTCCCACAAGTCCTCTCTAATTATGTCCATGTTGATTACAGCCTGTCTTTACAGAACCTACAAGACCAGAGCAGAGAGTGAGGGTTAGATTTCCCTTTTATCCCAAAACACATGTACAGAGAGAACATATAAACTGTGCTCTTTGAGGCAGCACTTAGCTTTGAGTAAACCTCTAAATATGCAGAGGGTCTATATCAGGATTTAAGAAAAATGTGTTTAAGATATTGTATAGCTGTGTGTTTAACAAAGAATTGAAAAGAATTCTTTACATTTAGAATTTTTGATTATTATTATCTTTAGATCTGTACTGGTTTCCTGTGCATTTAAATAGTTCTAATAATAATTAGAATAGAATATTAGATATATAGATAATATTTAGATACTATTACTATCTATAAAAAAACCCTAATTTACTGAAGGGAACTCCCAAGGGATTCATAAAGTTCTATTCATCTACAGTATCTATCTATGCATCTATCTCTCTAGTTTCATATCACAGTCCTGTAATCACACTACGAGGGAATATCTCCTGGAATAATTCCTTAAAATGTAGTAGTTTAACCAAGCATTGATCCAATTAATGGGTCGTTCCCAATCATATGAGATATACATTTTTTTTAAGTTTGGTGAAGGGAGCCAGAGTTACAATATCCCTGATGGCTGACAGAATGTACCATTATATTTTAAACATACTTTTAATTACATTATATGTCTAGAGTGTGGTTACAGAGTGTGGAGACACAAAGGTCCTGGTCTAAAACAACAGCTATAGTGTCAAAAATCCACTGTATGTGGAAGAAGAGTTAAAAGGGATTTATAAAAGTGGACAATGTAGCTTTCAAAGGTTGACAAAGAAAACAATGAAGATAAAGAAGTATAAGGCTGAGATGAAGTTTAGAGGAGAAGAAAAGACAACTTGGTGATGAAATGACGAAATACTGGAGTGCATTTGTATATGGACTAAAGAAAATAGATTGAACATTATCGATGGCACACTGAGAAAAGTGTTGAACAGTGTGACAACCTTCAACATGTTTGCAGGCAGGTACACTGTATAGTGAAGTGCAGGGTTAAATGGTCAGACAAGAAAACGGACCAGAATTATGACGAGAGGATAGATGAACAGTGGGGAAAAAATAAATGACAAAAATACATAAATAAAGCTGGAAGTACAACAGGTGAGGACGATGGAGAACAGGTTGAGTTCACACATACTGACAAGGATGAGTATGGAAAAAAAAAAAAAAAGTCAGGAGGACAAATGGTTGGATAAAAAAAAAAATTGGACATTCAATATATATATATATAGTGTATACAAATATATATAATATACAGTATAAACATATACACAAATATATGTGTATATTTACAAATGAAATTATAAATTATATTATATTTGAATAAATTATATTTAAAAAAGATACAAATTTAACAGCATGATCATTTTAAAATTTCTTTATTAATTTTTATCAATGTTTGATACTTGAAGCAAGAATATTGAACAAAAATGCTGAGCAGACCTCTGCACGAGGCTTCATCCTGGTTCATGTTTATATTTATACGACCTCCAGTTTAACAGAGGCTCACGTTGTTTGATGGTGCTTTATGGCAAAGGTGCAGGGAACACAGACAAAGCTCCTCCCATACAAAAACCCTCCACAAAAACAAAACAAAAATGAACTCAAAAAGAAAATTACAAAAAATATGGTCATGTTATTTACACAGCGTTCAATCCTTTTCTAGACCTTAATGATAAACATACATCTATCTCTCCATCATAGTTCTCTGACCTACACTGTCCCTTTGGAAATCTTCACTACAACTCCTCAACTATTGTGCCGTCAGTGCTTTAGAATTCTATACAGTGACAGTCTGACACTTTCAGTTGTGTTAAACCCACATATCTGTAGATTTATTTTTAAATTGTGACAAATATTCCACAACTCTGCTCTAGTTGTAGTCTAAAGCCACGACTACTAATGTCGACCGCTCCTGGATCTGACATCATGTAGTAATTAATACCCGTACAAAGGTGGAAAGAGTCAAAATATCAGGGACACAATACTTTCGACAAGTCCTGAGCAGTTATCTGGCCGAGTGCATTCTAGGACAGGTCTCCAATATCATTCTAGTGACTGAAATACAACTCAAAGAACAGAGTTCTTTGAACATATTGTTTGTCCAAAGCGTAGCACCTCACAGTGGTTTTGAATCGGGGCACTTATCGACACTTCCTTTTTTAACACAAATCTACATACACAACAATTCCCTACAAACACTTCCATGTCTTCTCTATGGCACGTTCAGGTCTTTACTGTGGTAACAATGCTTGAAGGCAAACAACAGACTGAACCATACCCGTCTTAGCCTTCCACTGGGAAGCAATGACTACAACTTAACAACAACAAAAAAACATTTTCTTTTTATCTTAGCAAGATACCTCTGACTGATCCACTCAATGGTTCTTTGTTTTTGGAATGACTGTTGAATAGGGGAATAGAAGAAAAAGAGTGGGACTGCTATGTAAGATTTAAACACAGATGGAATGAGAATTAGTGGGAAAAAAATTAACAGGACCTGATTCAATTTGAAGGCAGGTCTTCTAAAATGACCACTTTATAACGACAATCAGAATTTTATTTTTTTTATTTTTTTATTTTTTAAGCCAAAAATACACAAGGCACAAGTCTCCATCCACAGTCCTGGCCCCAAATGTCTGTTATTAATATTATTTTTATATGACTGGATTGACTTACACTGCCAACATGTGATTATTTGGTCTCAAAATAAATCAGTTCCTGAGATAAAAATAATCACATTTGACGACTTGTGTGTTGGCACCATCCTGTGACCATTAAATGATATCCCTGCTGCCCACCAAATAGTAAGTGTCCAACAGGGTGGGTTGTCACTTCCTCTTATATCCACACAGTACAGGTTAATGATGCAAGATAGGAATGCATGAACACGAGGATAACAATGTCCACATTCAAAGTGATTTAAGCAACAGGAATGGAAGGAGCAAGAAGCAGCTGTTGGGTTGTTCAGCTTCAGAGACTGTAATGATAATTGATCCTGTGCAGCTAAATAAGTTGAATTCACATCCTAATAAGAGTGTCAATATCAATCACCTTTTTCTAACAAAACAATACATGTTTGTGAAAGTCTAATTTTTATACTAGATACGGTTTGAGATTCCTGTTGGCATTATGACTTGTGATTTTCACAAGAGATAAAGAAAATATAGGGGAGGAGGTGTAAACAAAATTACATTTTTGGCAACATTTGAGTTTTAGAGTAGGTTATGTAAAGTGAAGAGTTGACACAGGAGTTGAAGTGGTTGCTGTTAAACAAAAACAACAGTATAAGACCTTGGAACTTAAACTTAAAAGGTCCTTTGTCACCAAAAAGCAAGAATATTTTCTGGAAATTTTGTCACACCTTTTTATTCCACCTGTGTTAAACTGAGGGTCAGGGAATGGCAGGAAAAAAAAAAAGTTCATCTGGAATGTTGCTGGAAATCGTTGCTGAGCAGGACATTAAGATGAATACTGTCAGTGCGATTGGCAGTGACTAGTCCTGCCCAACACCCAGCCTATAGAATGTCCTGAATTGTAGTGGGATTTAGGAGGGAACCGGTCTTTACATGGCAATTTTGGACATTTGTTCTTCAAGTTGGATGATTCGCTTCTCTTGACTGCTGACCAGGTCTTTGAGGGATTTTATTTCTTTCAAGATCTCCTCCAGCTTTCCCTCTAAATTCTGTGGGAGACACCATAAAACAAGTGAAACATCGACTCTGTGTGAACAGATATTTTTATATGACAGCACTGTTGCAACAACTCTGACACACACACACGCAACACTGGTGACTTCTGAAACTATTTCAAAAACAAAGGTATGTCTCAACAACGCTCTGTGTAAAACACTCCACTGTTTGTGGACTGTCAGCTCACTGTAGCTGGTGTTCTGAGGGTTAAGATGTTTCCACAGAGACAGAACCAAATGGGCTGTGATTATAGAGCAAAAGTGCACAAGGATACATGGGCTGGGCTGAGGCAGGAGGCTGTGTTGTGGTTGAATTGTGGCAAGACGCCCAGCAGAACAGACCCTAAGGTCTAAGAAAGTGGGAGTCAGAGCAAGAGACCACCTCATATTTAAAGAAATCCAGTGAACAGACCTCTGAGCTTCCATTATAAACAATTGCTCTCTGTTTCCTTTTATTTTATCTTAACTCCAAATACTACCTAAAGGTGTATCAACATTTAGCATCAGCTTTTGCCCTCTGCTCTTATGCAAAGACTGTCTTTTTACTTTTTCATTTACTGTATTATTGAGTCTTAATTATATAAAGATATTCTCCAGCTAACTAAGGAATCTCCTACAATGTACTTTTACTGTTTGAATTAGCTTCTGTCCCAACATTTTATCTATGTGACAGAAAGCAAATTCTAAGTTTGTTTCTTCAGTGTAATACTAAAAATTCTTTTATTTTGTTGAAACGGAAAAGGTCGGAGTAACATCCTGACCTAAGAATGTTATTACATTTTAGGGAGTGTAAACATTTTTGGAAACAGGACAACATCTGTAGGTGAACAAATAATCAAAATGGTAAAAAAACAAACAAACAAAAAACTAAAAACCAAAATGGCATCTAAATAATGTTTGTAGTTTTTACTTGACATTGTTAAAATTGTGGGTTTAGGAAATGCACACAGTAGAGATTTAATGACGTTAACACTTACAATTGAAGGAGTAGGGGAGGCAGACTTGATGGCAGAGCTTGAGTTTCCCATGTCCTTGGTCAGCTTGCTGTCCAGTATGTTCTTTTTGACAACCTTGAACTCACGGTTCTTGACTGGAACATAGATATTCTTCAGAGAGATGGGTATGGGGTCTCCATTCTTACCCTCAAACCACTCCTCTGCCTCCAGGGCAGCTTCAGGTCCAGCTGTATCTGGGTACAAGTCATCCTGGAACAGGTCCGACTGAAGGGCAAGGATAAGAGTGTCAGGTTGAGGAAAGTGGCACATTACTAAAATGTGTGACTACACGGTGTGCGAGACTCACCTTCCTCGGCACAATCATCACAATGGGCTCACACTTCCTTTCATGCAGTTTGTAAAACCTGGAAGCACAAAATTAAACTATTTTACAAAAAATGTACACGCAACTACAAACAATACTGCTGCCCCCGCAACCCGGTAATGGATAAGCGGACGAAAATGGATGGATGGACTACAAACAATTAGATTCGTTGTTATTTTCTGCCCTCTAGTGGTATGACAGAAGATACACACTTAATGGCCTAGAGCACACATTTTCTGTGAACGAGTGGTCTCTCGGAAGTTACCTTGCAATTTCACACTTATTGACATCAAGGCCCCTCTTTGACATGTAGCCCATGCCCCTCTGTGGCTCCTTGGTTACAAAGGTGTTGAGGAAGTGGACATAAGGTTGCTCATCTGTGATTTCAAAGTAACGGATGCTGCTGTCACCCTGCAAAAAAAGAAAAAAAGAAATGGTCTGTTATATTTATCTAATGAATCAGAATTTCTGTATGAATGCTGGACATTAATTTTCATGTTAATAATTAATTTACTTTAATTTAGTGATAAAAGAGAAACGTACTTTCCCACAGAGGTAAACCACATTGGTGTCTGGATCATAGAATGGCAGCAGCACGCCGTTGCTGCTGTCCATCTCATTAACAGCGATTGGCTCTTTCATGTTTTGCTTGGGAGACAAAATACTTATTTACAAATTATTCAGTTTCATCTATCATTCATCATCCTCTATCAGAAGAGCAAAAACTCCCAGTGTGTAGGAAACCAGTCAGCAGGCGGTGGCTACTGGAATTAGGCTGTCACTGAGACAGCAACCAATTTATCTGAGTGTTCACACTCAGATATATTACCTGTAATTTATTGATGTTCAAAAATAACTAATTCTGAACATTTAGTTGGATTCTTAAGTCTGACACGCTAAAGACAAGATGTGGAAAGCATAACTTACCATGTTCCAGAGAGCTAACTGTCTCTCACTCATGCGGCTAAAACCCGTGGTGAGGATGTTGCCATTAGACAGAAAAATGGCTCGCATGGGGCGGGCGCCCCCACGTGCCTTTTCCTTCTCCTGTGGACAATATTCAGCATTACCCAAATGTACCTACTGCTCCACATTGCTGTTATTATCCACTAAAGATCTTTTTTATTTTACCGCCTGTGTAAAGCGCATTGAGATTTCACTATTTTTGTTCTAGCGTTATCTTTCTTTTTTTGAAGGAAGAAGCTAAATTTTATATGAAAAGATCTTTAAAAACTGCTTACAGCAATAATCTCCACTCGCCGGGGGTCGATGACCCGGATGGCCTTGTCCTTGCAGGAGGTGCAGATAAGACTGCCGTTGCGGTTCCAGGACACGTTGTAAATGACATCTTGGTGCATGTCGTCCAAAGTGATCATGGATTCACCTGTCCCCACGTTCCAGATAATGATCTGGTTGTCACAACCTGGGAACAAAGTGGAATTATGTTAACAGGCAGCAACTTATGCCCTGCTGGTGAGGTGAGCTGAAGTACAGACTAAAGGAGGCAGCTGGTACCTGCACTTAAAAGGACATTGCGTGCTGTTGGATGCCATGTAATGATGCCCACACGCTTCGAGTGGCCTTCCAGTACAACCACTGGGTCAGACATGGGCATGACAAGGCCATTCTCAGGAATCTGCCATACCTTCAGAGGACATCAAGAAAACAGATGTCAGCAAGAAAGTGCAAAGTGGAGGATTTTCAAAAATATATCAGAGAATTCTACCAAGAAATACAAGGCAAATGTCTTTTGTCATCCGAGGAATGTGTTAATGCAACAAGCTTTTTCATGTGAGACTCAAGACATTTTGTATGGTCCACTTTCTTTGCCTGAGTGACCAATCAATTCTAAGCTGCTGTAAGGGTGTGCGACACACACCCATGTAAATCATGTTCAAAGGCTCCTGTAAATGACAATAAGTACTTCAGGTTTGACTCTTCTGAAGGTTAACTTTTCAAACAAACCCTTTTAGACTATTAAATACCATGTATATTGCAAGTGAGTATGCCATTTTGAATTATCGTAGTTTTAAATTATTTATTATTTACACTAACCAAGAACATATGTATTCCACTCCTTTATGCTTAGACAGAAATAGCACCTTGAGTAGTATTCCACCAATTCACAGCTAAATCTTGTGGCCTCAATTATTTTTAAATTAAAGATAACAAGAAAACCTGATTTAATGCCTAGTCTTTAAAAATAAATAAATCAATAAAGTGCAGTTAGCCAAATAAACCTTAAGGGGGGAGTAGCAACTAAAATTTCAGTAGCAACAACAACAGCCAACACAGCAACTTTAGTGAAACTAGAATATAATGGTTTAATTGAAAATGATCAGTTAGATTATAATGGTAAAATTTTACCTAATTTTAACCAATGCACAACGTGGTAAAATGATGCCTCAAATATTACAAAAACCTCTTTGATTTCAGAGTTGACATACTCAAAGTATACTTCTGTAAATTTAGAATAAATATGGCAACTAATTCAAAAAAGTGTAATTGAAATACAATCACTTTCAAGTGGCCAACCAAACGGGTCACTGCCTGAACTTTTTTCAAAGACCAAATAAGGACATATGTAGGGAAGTACTAATGGAGTCTCAAAGAAGTCAGTGACCTCAGCTCAGTTAAATCAGTTAAATCATTCCCCAGCTCTGATTCCTACACACATATTTGAGCCTAATCTAATCCAGAGGGTGAGGTCTGCACCCATTTCTCTGTTACAATAGCCTGGTCACAATAAAATACATACATACAACATAGTGTCGTTTCTGATAGAGAACTTATGGTGGAGAGTTTATGATGACCTTTGTGCATCAACCAACAATTGTGTGTTTCGATGCACAGAGGGGGGGAAAAACACCTTACCATCACTGTGCAATCCTCAGAGCCACTGGCAATGACATGATCATTGTGGGGGCACCAGTCAATGTCCAACACTGGGCCTGTGTGACCACACACTGTGGGGTAGGATTTGTCAATGCGTCCTGTCTGTAAAGACAAAGAAAAACAACAACATACAGTAGTGTGTATGTGAGACTCAGATACACACTAAATGCATATGTGATGAATATATACATATACTGCACAACACAATATCAAAGTCATGTTTACGCTAAATAGACACACAGCTGTGCATTGTCCTCCTTGACAGCCTGCAGTTAAATGTTACCTTTGAAAACTACAACCTAGAAGGGCCAGGTGCTCTATTCTTTATCGTTGGAAGACAAACACAAGCTGTAGTAACGGTGTTGTCAAAGGCACACCCTGATAAGAAGGAACTGCCACAGGGTTAAAGAAATTGTTTTTTAGAGGCAGCTTACAGAAGATTTATTTCAAACATACTGCAAAACACAATGGCAGAGAAAGAAACACCTATTCTCTTTGCTGGAATTGTACATTTTTCTAAACATATACACTATGTTGTATTATTTTACTTTATACAGACAACGTTATTTCCAATTAAAATAACAGAGGTGGGCACAAACGTCTGAGAGGGACACAATTAAAAATACTTCTTTGTTGTCAAGGCTTCTCAAACAAGATGCATGATATTTGCACAGGGTTTATATTATATCTGGTTTATAATCAGTATAAAGTACATAGTATTGCAGCTGGATCTAGAAATCAGAAACACTTGACTCCAGGGGGAAAATATTTGTATATCCGAAAGCTTTATCTTTACATTAATCTGGTGTATAGTTGGACAAGATGGACTAATTGAAATCCAGAACAAGTAGGGTGTGTGTTTAATATGCTTAAGGAGGAAAAGAAAAGCCTTACACCCAAGTATAATCATGAATCAACCTGGGATGGCAGTGTGACAACTCGACTTTGACACTGTAGTCAGCAGGGATTTACGACTGAGTCAACCTTAATGTTTCTGATAACATCAGCTTTTACATACAAGACTCTCATTCTTTTCCATACAGCTGAGTCTGTTGTGATCAACGTAGGTCATGATCATTTTGATCACAATTTATAAGCACATACAATCAACCTATAAACAAACACAATTCTGCCAAGAGCATTAAGAGTCTCTGTATTTTAGCCCTAGCTACAGGGCTAGATTGTGCATTTTATGTACACATACATTTATTCAATGTTATAAAATGACTGTTTCAGCTACATATTAAGGATATGGCACAGCAGAGTCTGTATGGGACATAAAGGCATTCAGGTCCACTGGTCCTGTATGTACTGTGTTAAACAGTAGATTGTCTCAGCATTGATTGCTTGGTTGAAGTCAAACCAAACATCATGTACCACATGCCACAGTATCAAGTTTAGGCAATGTGTCTTGCCTTATAACATGTCCAGACACCTGCACGGTTTGAAGGAAGAGCAAAGCAGAAAACCTTTTCTCTATCAACTACAATTGAAATGACACATATAACTGTACTGTATGTATCCAATATGTAAACAACAACAAATGTAAGTAAGAAGTAAAGTACTTGAGTACTTGAACTTTATCTCCAGGAAGTTGGTGGGTTTTAGTCATTACTTGGCTTGTACATGTCCAGCCTTCCATTCAAAACCTTCATTCCATTTGGCAATCAGTTTCTTAGTCATAGACTTACTGTACTCACTGCCCTGCACTCAGTGAGGCTTGTCTGTTGCAAGTCTAAAGACTACATAAATGCATGCTGGGAGTTGAGATGGTATTTTAAGTATGAGGTGCTTCCGTGAAACAAAATCCTTTTTACACTGTGCTAATAACAATGATTGTGTGTAAGAGCATTTCTACATGGTTGGACAGTATAATTATTATATATACAGTGATCTTTATCTTTTTGCATGCATTAAAAATTAGTCTTCTGTCACTGACATTACCCAAAGCACAGATGCTGCCACGGCTCCTCTACAGCCCTTTTAAATAGTTTCAGTTCTGTCTCAAAGATAACCAAACTCTATTCAAAAGATAAAATAAAAAATAGTATCTAAAAGTCACAGTTGAATAAAGATGTAAAGCTCAACTTCCTGATCGTTCTGGGCAGGGCAAGGCAGAGGAGACAACGGCTTGGCAAGAAGAGACTTGTTCTTTACATTCCACACAATAAGCCCCAGGGAGCTGTGGTATGTATTTGACGTATGAGAGTTAAGGTGCACCCATTGAAGTTTTAAATGGGGTTTGTGTATGACAGATATTATATATAAGGCCAGAGTAAATGCTATAAAAAGATCGGTATCTGTCACTTTTTGGCATGTACACAGAATGTGAGTCTCATTCATACCAAAACAAAGATGCACCTCAGTCTGGTCATGCATTTCCATTATAGTTCACCAAATCGAAGTTTTAGGAAGTAAAGTTCTAGTCCATTTCTACTCCCATACATTTTTAAATTGAGTTACTAACAGCATTCTTGTTTGTTTTGTAGTGAGATTACGTGAAGATAAACAGCACTTGACTTGGCCTAAATGCTGAATTTGGGAGTAATTTCAATACTTTTTTCAACTGAAAGAGACCAGAAACAGGAATAGAGGACAGAGACTGGTGTCAGACCAGGTGGGTTTAGATCATGAAATGATGCAAGGCAGATTAATTATTGTAAAACAGATCTTGGGAGAGACTCCAGACAGTTATCTACAAAACTGCAGTTTAAAGTATACTGAAGGAAAGCCCATAAAATAAAATGTGACATAAAAAGGCCAAAGGTGGTCATCCATTTGGAATTGTTTCTTGAGTATCTACTTGAATATACAGTTTTTCCATATTTCCAGACCCAGAAGCAACTGTAAACAGAAGCGACAAGATTTTATTTTGTTAACTTCTGATGTGGAATTAGCATTATCAACAGCTGAGGTTCACCATTTCCACAACGTTGGATATGTTTCTTGCTCAAATCTAAGAAGTACAGTAGACAGTATACTGGCATGACCAGTGGTCTGCAATAGTAAATGACAATTTCTTTTAATTCTATTATGTATTACGCAGTCATACGATTCACACAGCTATTTGATGCTGTATAGTTTGTTTTCAAATGGTAAGCTGGAACTTACATACTAACTGCCTTTACGATGGAAATGAAGCACAACAGTGAAACAAAAAATGCCAGAAAATCATTCCTCAAGGCAAGCAATGACATTCTTCTCATTCATACAAGAGGTCAGCACAATTCATTTCCTTGCAGCTCAACATGTGATTCACACATGCACATTGCTAAAGTGTCTTCCATGTCTACAGTGCAGAGTTGCTCTGAGCTCTATGGAAATTTCCACTTAGAAAACTCTCTGCATCCATAAAGCTAAGACAAACAGTAGAGACAGGAGCAGACGTACTGCTGTCTATCCTGCAAACTTTGGAATTTACAGTCTCTTAACAACAGAATGGAGCACACTACAAGCTGAGTGTAAATTATGCTACATATACTTAAAACAATAGTCACACAGCATACTTTACCTTTATTAAATTCTTCAGTGTCTGAGATAAACATTGAATATATGGGTAGATCAGACTTTAAACAAGTACAGTATGTTATTACATATGTACTTGCAGAAAAATATATTGGACAATAGCAAACATTTAGTTACACTCCTGCATCATTGTGTATATACATGGTATAGGCTGATAATAGGGAAAAGTTCCTTAAACGTTCTTCAGTTATAGGCAACAAAGTATTTTAACACAGTAACAAGAGCTCCGCAAAGTATTATTAAGGATCAGTGACTTCTGTTATCCCTATGTAATGGCTACTGTCTGACTAGGCCTACTTTTAAACTAAATCTAGGTATAAAGTCTAGAGCTTGTGGTGAGTAATAAAAAAATAGAACACACAGCACATTAAAGACCAAGTCTTTGTTTTCTTTTACGAGATCAAGTGATTGGTGATTAATAAATTGTTCACAGACATCATTTTGTGTAGTACAGAGTGTGGCATGTCACACATCAATTTTTAATAATACAAACAAAACTGTAAAATGGGACAGCCCTGTGCACTATTCATCATGAGAGCAATTCAAAATTAAATCAGAATGACTGCATTAATGTTACATTATAATAATTGCTTAAACATGGCATTTGAATACAATGAATGACTATGTGACATAGACAACATCTGACTTTAACCTAGTTCTCTCATCTTGGGCACTCTTCATATTTCAGCCTATCCCAGAATTCACATGTGTACTGACACTGCATGAAGCAGCCAATAGTAGGGCAGTGAGGAAACGGTCTTGGAAGGCTGTCAGACAGGGAGCAATGAATGACCATATATGGTAAAATCTGCAGTCAGCGGGAGTGAATGGCAGAAGTGGCAAGACAGAAAGTAAGTAAGCAGTATACAGTATCTGGACCACATAAGTATGGTAAAAGAGGCTAGTTAACAAAGAGAGGCAGGATTATTATGAACATAGACACAGAGTGCAGTTCAGTCTGATTTAAGAAAGACAACAGAATTTGTCACTGTGAACACACCCAGGGATTACTGAAGAATAACGGCAAAGGTTAGGAACTGCTTTGGATTGCATTCAGTGATTGAATCCAAATCAAACACTCCAAATCTGAGTCTTTCTGCACATAAGCAATGTTTGAAACATTAACCTGCAACATGCCTTTTCCATTAGGCAATTCACAGTCTGTTGTTAAGGCTGCACCTAGGGTCATGTTTACATGGAGAGTGTGTCTCTGTGTATCCTGTGTCAAAATATCACAGGATACAAAGTGTGGAGTCTATAACCATGAGATAATTTCCTTGTGCAAATTATAAAATTCTAGGTACACTGCATAAATCATAACAGTGTTCACCTTGGGGAACTTTCTTTTTGCTATTGCCAGACAAGGGAATTATAAGGACATTTTTACTGAACTGCATAATAAATGCAGCATTCACTTCAAGGTCCTTTCACATGGAGATCAGGGAATAAATTAGCAGGCACCCAGCTAAGAACATGAAAGGAGGAGATTGAAAGCCTCAGGAAAGGGAATGACATGTGTTGAGCTGGACATCTGATGCCCTTTCTATAAATCCCAATGTTCAGACCAGAGGAAGCAAAAATATTGAAGGCAGTGCTGAATCACAGCGGCCTGCCATACAAATCTCACCCCAGTGAGTCACGAAGCTCTGCCGACTAATGACTCTAAATAGGACACAGAGCCACAGACCTAGGGTTAGGTCAGGGACCCAGGAACACCATCAAGTACACATAAGGTTAGGACAAAAATGAGTTATACTGAAAAGAAGCAGAGTAGAGAATGCAAAGTGCTCATAATTACATATGGTATATCTGTGTAGGGGGAGGGAGGATCTTTGCACTGGTTTGTGTGGTAATGACAAAGGGCTAGGAGTAAGTGTGGGACAAAGGCCCTGAGCAGCTGGCTGTCCACACCACAAGAGTGGGAGAGACACAACAGAGACAGATGGGATAGCAGGACAGATGCCATCTCATATTTATAAAGAAACAGGGGTTGGGGCATTACCTGCCTAATTTGTTCAAGTCCAAGGGGTTTTAGACATCAGTTTTAGACTGTTTCAAACTTCTGGACCACACAGACATCTAAATGTCAACAACAGCAGAAAGTGCTCAGATTTATTTACATATTGTTTAACTCATCTCTGAATCTAAATGTTTTCATTAACTTATAAAAGCCCCAATTGGCTTTTGGATTAAATTTCTATCTGTGTCTCATTACAAAATCATCACAGGGCCATTAGTTTGACTGTAACCAAATGTCCAACTAAACTACAACAGAAAACTATAGTTTTTTTTCTTTTCAGTTCTAAAGTACTGGGTAACCTTTTAGCTGCTAGTAAGTTAGCTGGCAGTGAACAATATAATTATGGAGGTTGCAATGTGAGTTTTTATTCATTTTAATATAAAAACAAAGATGTGGTTGCAATTGTTATTGAAATAATTACAGCTGCTGCAGCTCTGTACAACCGACTCTCAGCACTGCAGTCTTCTCACACCAATTGCAGGATGACTTGTCTCACATTCAGGAATTGCATCTCCGGTATAGGGTATACTGAGATTTAAAGATGGGAATTGCTTTTTAGAAGCTACTCAAAAATAGCTCTTTTTTTAAATTGATGCATAATGGAGAGATGTAAATAAACTAAAATGCAAAATGGCTAATTCACTTATACAGTAAGTATTAACCTTTAAGCGTAATCACAAGTGAGAAAAGTGTGCTGAGAAGATGGAAGGAATACTTTCTAAAACTACTGTTGCACGAGGTCCTCTGTCTCACGGCACTTTTTAATTCAGCGGTAAAAGTGGACTTTGTTTAGCAAATACACTATGACTGTACTGAAACAGCTCAGTCATAACATTCAAAGTTACATTTATAAGTGGTCTGATCTATTCAAATGTACTGGCGTCACCCTCTTTTAGGAGACAAACACTGAAGGTAACCATTCATTGAAGAAATAAGTCTACTTTTTCTAAGACTTGTAGTAAGAACAAATACAAATTCTGACATAGGTGTGTGTGTGTGTGTGAGAAACCAGTGAAGGAGTCAGCCCACATTCAGAATTAGTTCTGTATTGAATAAGGTGCTAAGCTGCCGAGTTCTGTGTGCTGACAGGGCTAAGGACCTCTCAAATGACAGCAGTGCACTGGTGGTATACACTAATTACAGGCCCAGGTTAGATCTGTCAACAATGCTGCAGTACATGTCACAAACAATGCCAGCACTTGCCACTGCAGATCCATTCAACAATTTAGGGCACTGATGAGACTTCTGGGACATATGACTGATTCATTGCTTTGCCCCTCAACAAGGTTTATTATACTAGCAAGTTAAAATAAAATGGGCAGCTAATGTTAGAGGCTGTCTTTAACAATAAAGTTCCAGTTATGGGAGGTTTAACAATCCTCACCATTGAACTATATAGATATACAGATGCAGTAAAATAAGGCAAAATGTTGAAATTCAGTTTCTTAGAGAGATTACATGTGCAGTAAGAGCTGTGAGTATGAAAGTAACAACTTTTTTTTAGAACCAGTTTAACTATGGAGCTTTAAAGGAATCATTAACAATGATTTGTGGTTAAGCAATTGCAACTGGAGGTGAAAGGGTAGTTGGGTGTGTCAAGTGACAAGCATGCAAATAAGGAAGAGAAAAGCCCAACAGCCTTTTTGCAAGTGGACCCAGTGTTGTGTTGTCGTCTTAGGTATTGTCATAAAGTAAGTCGACAAATGGAATCAGCAGAAATGTGAGATGCCATCTCTGCAGTTCACACACAATAAACAACAGTGTTGACAAAGAGCCACAATCACAACAGCAGTCTCATGAACACCTTCACCTGAACATTCAACCCAAGGACACACCGATCTGACAGCCATCATGTTGCTAACCTACCATGATCAATTTTAAAAAAGCATTAGACCAGAGCTTTGCAACCACAGATGAAGAAAAACAAGACGTGGACATTGTTGTTTAACCTGTTATACACAGAAAAGACATACGACAAACATTTCTACATGCAGGCAATGATTAATTCTTGCTGAAAATTGATGAGGGGTGATGGGTAAAATTAAAATTGGTTTTAAAATAGGTTTTATAAAAAGAAATACAGCACCTCCCTACCTTTTATCTAACTATAAATCAGTATGATATATTGGTCATGGTTTTAAAGTGTAATCAGGCTACATTTGACTCATTGCTAGGGGCCCTGCTATTGAAACGACGGTCTCAATACCAATAAATAGCTAAAGTGACTTAGGAGGTTCAGGGTTCCAGACCCCTATGAGACAATTTAAAGGAAGAATGGTTTTTAAAATTTGTTTATATTAGATGATGAAAATTAATGTAAAATAAAATCCTTAATGGTGAGCCACAGTCTGTTAGAGACTCCTCAAGCAATAACAAAGCATCAACCAGATACAGTAAAGTACAGTATACTTGCTTAGTTTATACTTACTCATTACAACAGTGATAATATGATGCATGAGAAACTTACCTTGTGAAGAGGCAGAACAAAAAAAGCACCACCACCACTGGCCTCAATGATTATGGCAACAAACTTGGGATTGACTGCACAAAACGAACTGTCCCATGTGACCCTTGAAACACGAATATCATCGTAGCATTGATCGTTCTTCACCGCCTGGCCAAAGACATGACGGAATTTGCTCTGTCGTACAACCCCTCGTTTCATATCTGTGTGGGAAATCAGACCAGACTTGAATTAAAACACATTCAAAACAGAAGAGTTCCTTCTATGTGTCTAGTTGCTGGTAGACTTTCCTTGGCTTTTCACCCAGAATCATAGCTAAAACTTAAATAAATTTAAGCTCAAATATGGTATTTGTAATAAAAAGGATAAGGAGAGGTGTGTCAAGGCACAAAGCCAAAAGACACTAGTGGACTAAATACACAAACTACTTTATTGCAAGTTGTAAGTTTAGTAGTCCTTTTTATCCCCTAATTTCATGCAACACTTTGGCCATACATGACTGATAATGCAGCCTGGGAATTTACTTGGACATTGGTCTATCAGAGACAAAGCTTGTTGTTCCACTTTTTCCTAGTATAAAACATATTTTGGGTTTTGCCCCATATTTGAACTAAACCAGGAAATTAATCCAACCATTACACCGTTGGTGTTACTGAGGAACTGTTTCTGTAGCAAAAGAAATTACACAAAAAATATTACAACAATGTGTGCTATATTATACTGTGTACTAATAATGCTGAAAAGAAAATGTATGCATCATATTCATACATTTCAAAATCTATTTTTCTGTGAAAGAAACATTTACAAAAGAACAGAGCAAATTCAATCCAAACAAATACATACTTTATTGCTGAATCAGGTTAAATCTTCACCATGACAAGAATCTACTGGCAGACCAGAGAACTTAGGAAAACAAGCCTATTCAAGACCTTCCAGTCCTAGTGATCTGCTTAAAAAAACAGTCCACTTCCACAGATAACAGAAAACTGATCTGATAAGTGACTAAAATGAAAGACCATGTTAACTTACAAACTGGACAAAAAACAAATGTTTTTCAGAAATTAAAAAAAAAAAAAAAAAAAAAAATCCTTAAATCTAAATCCTTAAAACTGCACAAAGCAATAGATTCCTGGCCTGGATTGCCTACATGACCAAAGCACAGAACAGGATGTGGGACATATTTGGAGTTTTTTTTCCATTGTGTGTGAGTAATAGTGTGTGTGTGTGTGTGTGTGTGTGTGTGAGAGAGAGAGAGAGAAAGATAGAGAGAGTAAAAAGGGGAAGAGTGCATGCAAGAAAATCTCATATGACATGTATTCGACAGGACAAAGATTGCAATACAAGCAGGAAGTTCTTTCTGTAAGGATGTGGGTGTGTTGCTGTCTGATGTGTCTTCTGTGAAACACATCAGCCAACAAAGGGTTTTTTCATCTTTAGACCTGGTGGTCTTTAAAGTTGACCTAGATTTATCTTCATCGGAATGTCATCTCTAGGAAACTGAATTTCATTTTTGGACAAAAGGTAAACATCACAGATCCCTAAAGCACTGTAGTTAAACAGGACACTACATGGTTTATAAATACTAGAAATGTGTTCTTTGAAAATTGATGTTCCATTTCTGTGAAACAGAAGCAGATCTTATATTTTACCTACAGCAGCTTCCCACATGGTCATCACAGAGTAGAGAATACTCAAATGCTTTTTGGGAATGTTTGAACTCTAAGCCAGGATTATCCAGACTAACTGCAACATAACCGCATTACTTGAAGTGAAGAGAAGAGAATCCAACATAATGAAAATGGTACCATTCAATTAATCAAATACAACCAATTATACTTAAACCATTCAATTAAATATAGTTGTTGTAGGATTACATTTTTTCTGGTTGCATTTTGTACTTTAAAGCCATTTCAACAGGTTGATAATTCAATGAGCACCCATGTCACAACAAAAAGATCTACTCTGTAACAAAATATCATGTTGTTGGTTTAAATTGTGGATCACATTTAACCAACACTGGTTGAAGAGCTTAAGTTGTTCATCAGCACAGTACTGTAACTGGCCCAGGCAAAACACTCACTGCCTGAGATAGGGTCTGCGCCAACCCCTATATTATTGGACAACAGCAGTAAATGATTTCCTCTGAAAAGTACCATAATGTTGAAATGTTACATGCCCCACAGCATATACAACTGTTACAGGTGAATAAGTGTTTATTTGAATGTTTACAAAAAATGCTTGCTGATTTCAATTAATATTTCATGTCAATAAAAGTGCTAAAAAAATACTTGATCCATCTTGCATTCCTATCATTGCTGCTCTGAGTTAAGGCCAACAACATACCTGAAGCCATAGCAGTAGAATGTGAACAGGATTTGAATAGAGGTTGTGGGGGATGGCTAAGCAATGAGTTAGGTAAAACTACCCCAAATAACTGGATGTGAAGATGGTCTTATACCTTACTCGTTGTGTGTTGATAAAAAGAGCATGGGTAGCATTCAGGACTGAAAACAAGAAATAAATATGAGGTGCTTACATAGGAGTGCCAAGGGCAGTATGCAGTCAAACCAGGCTGAACACTCATTGTCCTGCCAAACTGTGTTACTTACCCATCAACCTCTTCATAAGAAAACAAAATGCCAAGATTAAGATATTTGTACATCCAGGCTTCCATTTTATCTTCTGTAAAATACATAACCTGAATGGCAACAAGTGCAAAACAACAAATGACTAAAGCATGAAAAGGTCATTTCTAAACTACCATCTAAGAAAGCACAAATAAGCAGATCACTGATAAAACACACATTAGATCAAACCACAACGATTGCCTTTTAACCAACAATGCAACTTTCACTTCAGTACTTTGATTCCACTTCTTCTTCAAGGGTAACATCTGGTGATGAAAACTGGATTTGGGGAACTACACTGTTGTAATTGCTCTAAAGATAGTGGTAGCACAAATTGTTTAACATTTTGAGATTATGTTTCTTGTATATACAATTTTTACAATATGTTTGCATTGGTGTGCAGAACAATGTCAGGTGTTATCTGTGCAGGCGTGTTTGGTGGCCAGGTGACAAAACATGACTAAAGGGTGGGATATTTAGGACAGGGGAGGGCAGCAGAGTTAGGGCAGCAGAGTTAGAGCAGAAATGTGGCTTGGCCTAAAAACATACTATATATAATGACAGCACATAGAAATGTAATCATGCAAAAGGTGGCTTGTAGTCAAAAGTTGTTGTCAAAAGGTACCAATTCAAACAGATTTTTATTCAAGTGTTGTTTTAGAAACTATTACACAGTAGCCAAATGTTGAGATGGGTAAAAATTTTTTAAGAATTAATAAATATTTTAAAGTGTAAGGATGAAGGAGAGTATTATACACTGTCAAAAAACTAAAAACTACACAGATTAACAGGTAGACCTGTTGCTCTAGATGTACAAAAATAACATCTGTATGCAATAGAAGTTAGAGTTACAAAAGCAACAAATGGCACCAGTTTAATTATCTTTCATATTTAATCATAAACTCAACATTGATCTTTAAGGATTACCTCAGTGCAGTGGTTATTGTTTTCAATGAATTACATTCTGATATTTGATATATTTGCTTCCCACAACATTCACCCAACAGACTAGTGATGTCACCTCAGAGCCTTTAATATGCCAGTCTGCCTTGTTTTACTACCAAGACTGCACAAGACCCCACCTTAATCATCTTCCTGTATTGAAGGCTACGGAACACTATTGTAATCAGATTCCAGCAGCATTCCGGTGCAACACTGAGATAAGGTGAAGTTGCTTTCACCCGTCAGTCTTAAGTCAAGGCTGCCAGTGGTTGATGACACAATAAATTTTGTACCACAGTTTCTTTGAAGGAGGAGAAACAATTTCAGATGGAGGAATAATGTAACTCCTCTTTTCCTTTATAGAATAGCAGGAGCGATGGAGCGATTCATCGCAGGACTAGATATAGAGACTAACAGCCACTTGTACTCAGGATGGGAATCAAGAACCTCCAAAAAGCTCCAATGTAATAAGCAAAATAAATCACAAAGAAAGCAGCTTCTATCTAATCTGTCACTGGGGTGTTACAATTAGTATCGGTATCGGCAGCCGATCCCAACCTAATTAGCGGATCTGACCTATCCAATCCAACCTGAAAAAATTCCAATCCACAACCCATGTCTGAGCTCCAGCCTTGTCTAATCTGTTACAATAACAGACCCACCGACAGGAATCAGACAGTTGGCTGACTGTAAACTGTGAAAATCACTTTCCTGAACAAAACATGGCTCAACAAGATTGTGAGGCACGCCGCAGTACAGGGAATCCACTCCACATTTTGCAGCCAGATAGCAGGCTGCAAAGAAATATGTCCGCTGTGTTGAAATATTAGAAAGGACCGAAAACCACACAGCAACATGTGATATTTGCAAAGCTGAAATTCGGAGAGGTGTAATCGTCTCTTCATACAATACCACTACATTAAACATAAAAAGCACCTCAACAAAGAGGACGTGAATGCACCATGGGACAGAAAGACGTAACCGCCACCGGAAGTCACTTCTGGAGTCGTTACAAAAGCAAGGTAAACTCCCAAAAGATGAAGTACGTACTCGTACGCAGCTCAGCGGCCTATAATAAAAACAGTGAAACAATGAACAATGACCTTATACCAACCCTCAAGGTGCCTTTTGGGAAATACATGAATATAATAATAATAATATTAATGCAATAGTATCAGAATAACATCAGTATCGGCCAATATCCAATCCAAAATTTTGGGATCGGATCGGAAGTAAAAAAAATGTGTATCGGTGCATCCCTAGTTACAATATTTAAAAAATATTATACCAAAATATATTTGCTCTCTTTTTAGTGCACTGTCACAACACACAAAAATCCTATACATGTATTCAACATTTGACAAACTATATTTAATACATTTCTGTCAGTCACTTGATTTAAAACCATTAAGTTGGGGGCTTAATATCCCAGAGCAAACAGTAAACATACACAGTCACACGCAACCTGGTGGGCGGGCCTCTCAGTCAGCCTTCTCTCACCGCAGCGCAAAGGGGCCTTTGTAAGGGTAGATAAGATCGGTAAATAAGGTTGGTGGATAAGATCGGTTCCACATAAAGACATCGGCCAATCAACGATCCCATTTAAGGAAATTGCACCAATCAATTTGGATTTGAACAAGAAATTAACATGTCAAAAAAAATGTACATTTACGTACAGGATGTCTTGACGTGTACTTAAACAATAACCTTCTTTACATCACACTTCCTGGATTAAAGGGCTACACCCTAAAATTCTTAAAAGATAAGATAAGACTTTATTCATCCCACATCAGAGAATTTCAGTCATTACAGCAGCAGCATAGACGTGAATGCAGCAGGGTAGACAGTATTTACAAGGTGAGATACAAATATCAAAGTGAGATACAAATATCAAAATGAAAGTTGTACTTAAATGTCAAGTTTAACTGCAAACTTAGATAATGTTAATAGTAGAATTGTTAATGAAAAAAGATATCCTAGCAAAACATCTAAACCCAATAATTAAATCAGGTCAAAATACACTAAACTGATCACACAGAACACAGAAGTTACTCATCACTAAATACAGGAACACTTGTGTGTCACACTTAGTTGCCTTCCACTTCCTTATCCATTTCCCCTCTTGACCAGTCAAAGAATTTTAGGTTTTTAGGTTTAGGACCTTATAAAGCTGCAAACACATGATGTGTTGGTAATAGGTTTTAACAAGTCTAAACATGACTACTATAGCAGTGTGTCCTCCCTGGGGTGCACACACATAACATTAACCTGTTGTGCAGCTTAAGGTAACATTATGTCTCTAAACTGTAAAGCTGATTACAAAACCTGTAATTCATCTTGTTTAAATTAGGTTAAACATTCAAACCAACCTCCCTTTAGCAACTAACCAAGATTATTAAGATTCAACATGACCAATAGTCATGACCACAAGTACTGAGCTTGTATTAGTGGTATGGTGGGAAAAGTGTCACACTTATCTTTTTACACAGAAATCACTATTTCAATTTATACCTTTATGTTCCTCATATTTATTCCTTTGTTTGTTTAAACCGAGCATGAAAAGACATTTTTTTAATTCTACTTTCTTTACGTCTCACAATACATACAGGCAACATTGAGCTATAAAGGCTCAACGTTGCTTAACTTAACAGAATTATTTTTGGATGTCATGCTAGAACTATTGTACAATAACTTCCCTAAAACAATCATATTTGGATCAATTTCCATTTGGATATTTACACTAAAACATCATTGAAATGAGAGTCGGATGACTTGCAGCTTCAGGGGATTCAGTACAACTGATATTGTAACCTCACGTCTTCATATTTGTGAAAAAGGCTAAGTGCTTAAGGAAAAGAATTTAGTGCGGCCAAACGTCTTGCACAATCCCTGTCATATCACACAATGTCCCCATTAGGCCAGGAATAATAAAATATATTTACATTTCTTAACATGTAAATGACTATTATTCTTAAGACTTGTTTAAATAAATCTCTGACTACTAGCTAGACAGCATAAGTAAAATATGGACTTCATATAAATGTGGTAGACACTATATCTATATTGTCTGTTTCTACATCATCAAAAGTGTCACATGAATCTGAATTATTACTGTAGTTATGGTTATAGTTTAGTTGCAGAACACTTTGAAAATGGTCTGATAGTAATCTATGGAAAAGCAATACTTTATTGTTTAAATCAATGGAGGGGTGGGAACAGGTGGTGATGTAGTTTCTATGTATTCTTAAAGTTTTAAAGTTTTTCTCTAAAGCTTTAAGCTATACGATGCAAGAGATGCACCTTTCTGTTTAGATTGTAGCCCTCATGCGGCCCAGTCTAAACGCAAACCAAATCAGGTAGCAAATTATTAATTCATCCTTCCCAGTTGCGGTACATTAGAAATCAGACCACCAAGATATCCACCCAGATACAGAAATACAATATGTCTGTCATTGGCGCCTTAAACGTAGAAAAAGTAGTGTAAATGGTTAATTAGTTGTCTATGTGACACCACTTGTTGTGGGACGCGATACTCTATGCAACATGGAAGCAGGGACCACACGTCCATGCGCTACTTCCTTCTCCTTGTATCATCCACACAAGATTGTAAGTGTATCAAAAGTGAACCTTGAACCTGGTTATAACACTCGACTGTGGACTTCAAACAACAAAGTGTAATATTTATTCGCCCTCAGAATAAAGCCTGGGTTTATTGGTAGATGTGGAAAGACGTTTTAAGGCTTTGTATCCCTTGTCATGGCTGAGGGTGCGGTTGTGCGGCTTCCTGCAGCTCGGTCTGTCAGGATCTTTCTCTGCCGAGTTAAGTTTTTCCTGCCGCACTATGGAGAACGTTAGCTCACCCAGTCTGCTTAATTACACACAGCAAAGGGCGATTCACAGACTGAACTACCATGAAAAGACCAATTCAACGAAAGAAACAAAAACCTTACTTAAATTCAGTTATTTCCTTCACTGTTCGTTTAAACTTTTTGCTACTGTCACTTGTTTAACGGCCGCTGAAGGCTAGTGCTAAGAAGCCAAGTCACGTTATATCTTGGTTCATTTTAGCTAGCGCTCGCACTTTCTCTACCGGACAGCTGTATGTAGGTGGACAAATGAGAACCGCTGCAACCAATTACAAATCATATAAAAACTTTGGACACTTCGTTTAAAGAATATTGAATTTTAACCTACCTCCTTAAAGGACAACTTTAAGTATTCCCAGAAAACGAATGTTAGAACACACCCAACGTGTACCTAACTGAATCCACTACTCTGAAGCCGCTGCTGCTGCTGAAATCACTCTTTTTTTCTGCCGGATATATCCCTGCCCTAACTGTGGCACCGCCCCCTCAATTGGCTTGGCGGATCATGATTGAATAATTAGGGTTTGACTGACAGCCATTACAACAAATTGCAGATAGGCAGGTTCTACTGCCTCAAAATCAATTTTTTGACCTGTGTTTGTTAAGAAATAGATCGGACTCGGCTAATACAAACGGATAAAGGCAGATTACATTATAAAAGCAATTAATGTTCAAGTATGATCGTATTCCCTTTCAAAAAAAGAGAAAGAAAGAAGAAAAGGAATGAGGTTGTTTTTATGATTTTTAAGTAGATAAATAAACCTACCGGCCCCAACATTAGTTTTACTTTAAAATACTTAAAATTTATAATCCAAAATATAGGACACACGCACACACAGGGTTATATGGAAGTAGATCAAATTTTGAATGTAAATTATTCACACCTCGAATGTAGCAGATACAAAGTGTGTAATGATATCACGTCGATTGTACAGAAAAAAAAAGAGGAACTTTGAGCATTTGTTCGAAAGCAGAACAATGCACAATTTTGAAGCAGAACAAATCAAGGCAAGGTTTCTCTTTAAGGAAGGCACAAACATATTTCCTCAATTCTGTTTCACTCAACATTTAACTATAAATTAATGGACTAGCAAGACCAATTATCTAACTAACAATTCTGAATCAATATATATATATGATTAATTTACATAAAGTAATAAAATATGACGTATTGACTACTCTTTTGCAACACAATGCATGTACCATAACTACTGTATGTTATGCTGCCACAAGATGGCAACATTTCTCCAACTCATATTATACCACAACTACTGATAATATCCTTTCTAATAATAGTTTAAAATCCCTACGATACAAGCATTTCGTACAGTAATAACTTGACACCACAGCGTTGGTATATATTACTGTTAAGTGTGTTAATCCTTATGATCCTGTATTTTCTATAGGCCAACTAACCCTCCACTAAAAGTCTTGATCTAAGTAAGTGTTTTCTAATTATTGTTTTTTTTCATATTAAAAAGTCTTGATCTAAGTAAGTGTTATCTAATTATTGTTTTTTTTTCATATACATTCATTCTTTGGTCCAATTTTTATGATATAGTTTTAGCTTACACTTTGCAATAGCAAGACAACAATAATGTTGTGTTTGTTGTGCTAGCCATACGGTACTCTATACTATAGTGGATTTATTGCAATTAAAAATCTAAATAACCTTACCTTTCCTTACTGATGGCTTCCTCTCCAGGGCCTTATTTGGAGATTTTCGTGGTGAGTCAAAGGCAGCCTTCATCTGTGCCACATTCACTGACTGGCTCTGGTCATCAGTCACCTCAGACATCTTTGGTTGCACATGGTGTTGCAGTGTTTCATGTAGTTGTATTGACATCTTAATGAGTTCTGAGACAGGTCTTGCTCTAGGAGCGTTTGCTGATTTATTTCTCTCAGAGTTGCTGTTACATCTCCTCATGACAGGGTAATTGTCAGATTGGTCTGGGGTCATGTTATCTCTGTCGTGGCCTGTGGTCTCTGAGATACCTGTATTTACAGTAGTTGTGCCATTCTCCTCAAGTGAGTTCTTCACCTTTTTTTTTCTTAAAACCTGAGAACTAGAAGATAAATCGCTGCTTTGGTCAAAGTTTAAATCAGGATCCATGTGGTCCTGCCTGTCAATAACATTCTCTTTGACTTCAGACACAGGTGCCGTTGGTGGTTTTCTGTTTCTCTTCAGCAGCTTTTCCAAAATAGAGCTGGGTTCAGTAGGTGAGACTGGACTTGATGTTGAATCCGAGTCACCCATGTCTCTTTGGTAAGACCTTGATGATTTATCAGTTTGGGTGACCTTGGGTTTCCTTGAATAGTAGTCATTTAAAACCTGCTCCATTTCACACATCAGTGTTTCTTCGCTTTTATTTTCCTCTGTCTTCAGGTTTGCAGGTCTGTTTTGAATGGACTCACCTCTGACCTGAGGTTCATGTCTGTTCATCTTCTTCCACGCACAACCTTCTTCAGCATTGTCAAAAGCATCCTCGTAATATTGACTTTCATCTGGAAGGCTCTCATTTTGTTCATTCATATATGGGGAGCATCCTTCACCCTGATACTCCATCTTCAACTTTGAGGATGTTGCAAACTCTTGATGAAGCTGCCTTTCCTCTCGCATTAGCTGATTGAACCGTTTGTACACTGCAGCTCTCTCCTCAAGGGCTGCACTACTCCTTTGGTTCTTCTTGTTCTCCTGAGGTGCCAGTGGAACGTTCCTGCTTTTGTCGACTCCTCCTGCAGCCAATCCTCCCTGTCTTGATTCCTGAGCAGCGAAAGGACTAGACTTAATTTTTATGTGTCTCTCACTCAAAGGTGTTGTTGGTACCTGGCCAGGATACTCAGCCAAACACCCTGTGTCTGATTTTCCAAAACTGGCCCTGGTGTTAACAGCATCCTCTGAACAGAAGCTCTCTCCCCCCATGACATCACTTACATTACTTCCTGCCCCTAGAAAGTCAGGCTTGGACTCGTGTGCTCCTTCACTCTGGGCCTGTTCTCCTCCTTCCAGTTTGTCCTGGTTTTGCCCCATTCTGATCTGTAAAGAAGAACATTTTCAGAACTTTTTTTTACCTCATGACAGAACTAGACTATATTTTGCAAATCAAGCCAAGTGACTGGAAGATTGTACACAGTCCGGGACAGAGAACCACGTAGCAAACAAGTCACAGTCACACAAAAGCTGTTTCCATAAAGTGCTGCATCATATTACTTTAACTGCTTTATTCGCTCCGTCAGGTTATTCAAGCACTTGCAATGTTGGGTTCAACTTTTGGACAAACGTCAGTCGTGTGACACGTCATCATGTGATCAAATCTAATTTTTTTTTAAATCAATTGTTTTGGAATATTAAGAGATTCGGAACCTCTGGGTTACTGATCATTTGTATTAAGAATCATAATACATATTTTGTCCATTTATGGATGTAGTTTTTATGGTGAGTTTGGTTATCCAAATGGACAGGAAACAAAGCTTTGTTGTTGATAATATGCACCATCAGACATTAGTGTTTCAGGGCAATTGGCATGGTTGAGATGAATTGGATATTAAGTCTCAATAATGACAAGTATATCTACTGTTTGAATGAAAGGTTCAAGCAGGCTAAAGCAATTATAGTTATGGTACATTTAGCATAAGCCCTATTGTTGTGCTTCTTTTAGCAGGTTTTTTGGCTAGTTTTGCTAACTTTACACTTTCTCACTTTCTCTACTATTTCTCAGTAACATCTATATCTGTTGGATTACTTTGCTTTTCATGTACATTGTTGGATAACTTGAATAATTATCAGCTTCCTTTGGGATTACTGTTACTTAAGTGAAGAGTTTGAATTTAGAGTTTTACATGCTATTTGTTTAATAACTCTATTACCTCTCATCTTGTTGTTAGCTAATACCTATCTAACTTGTATTCAACTTTCCTTTCAAAGGTCCAGATGGAACATCTACTATGTTGCCGTATTTTTTTAGTCTTTCTTTATTTCTGGCCGTACATTTGTTATCTTGGGCTTAAATGTAAAGGGTTCTGGTGTATCTTTGAATATTTCTGAGGTACCGTTGAAATATTCAAAGATATTTAAGCAAACTACTCCTGTTATATTTTGGTTAAGCTGAATGTTTACAGCTATTTTTGAGCTGTCCTCTAGATTTCTTTAGTTGACTAAGCTATATTTAGTTATATTTAGGTTATATTTCAGTTATATTTACATGCTTTTATACAGTAGATGACCATGATTGACATTTTCTGTGAGCTAACATTATGATTAAATTAACTATTTAGCTAAGATTCTTTCCTAGCTGCACTGTTAGCTCAACTCCACCCAGTATTATATAGCTGTTTATCTTTCCCTTTCTGTGATTCATGTCCTAGGTAACAGCTTGTTTACTACTGAATTACTCACTGTTACTTGTGATTATGTATTATGGTTAGGGTTCAGTTCTGCTATCGGTCCTTACAATTGTCTGACAGTGTAATGAGTTTGTAGCCTGCAGCAAACTGCAGAAGTAAGCAGACAGAGCATTGAGAGCCACAATGAACAATGTTCCAGACCATGAGTCTGTTTCCTGATCCAGGCCTCATCTCTGCGTCTGTGTGACAACATATGACTGTTGTTGTCTTATCAACTGATCGGGCTGCACACTGGTCAACACACCAAACAGAGTATCACTAGTAGTCGGAAAATACGAACAGGGTAGTTTAAACTTAGCAACAGTTGATAACAAGATGCAATGAGAAGACATCAGGAACAAGATTACGCTCCACAACTGATGACATACAGTATGTAGAGGAGAATTTTTCTTTTGATCACATGAAGCCATCGGATTAAAGCATCTGTCAGTGCATTAAACTCAGCATTCACTGACCAGTCTTTGTATATTCTTTGAGTTACTGGGGGAAATCTCATCTCTTGAGGCATCATTGAACAACTAGTCCATTATCCTGTCATCAGTAAATGCCCAGGGTTGATCACTTGATGACCATGTGGTCTGTTACATCAACATATCGCCACTTATAGGAATTCAAATCAGTAAATGAAGAACTTTTGAAAAAACTAAACAGTTAACAACAAGTTGGAACTAAAGAAAAAGGTTCTTTCACTCTGCTCTGATCAGTAGAACATTTTTCAAATGGCAGTTCTGTGCTCTTTAAAAAACAACTAATAAAACATTGGTAATAAATTAGTCTGTTTTAAACACTCACCGGTAAGAAGTAGCCGAGTCAATAGCCCTGGTTGGAATGACAGTGTGTTCTTTGTTGGTTGTTTCGTGAAGTTTAGTCCTGCCTTAAATGCACAAGTGGTGGGAGAGTTATATTGCATCCATGTGATGTCACAGCACATTTGACTAATACAATCAGGAGAAACTCAGACATGAAGTGGAAGTTTTTTTTTTCATCCGCTGTCAAGAAACAATCACAGGCCAAACTGTCATATTCACGTTCATATTCAAGATACATAAGGTGTAAATATAGATTTTGGATCTGAAAG